GGACCTTTTGGCAAGATGTAAAAAGAAGAAGGAGCATATCAACATTGCTTCCCTAATGACCATCTTGTCGATAAAGCATTGGGAAACCCCAGAACTCCGTAAACTCAAAGCTAGGATAGTTTTCCGAGGGGACCACATCCTCACGGAAGACAACAATCTTGCGGTGCTCCAAGAAGCAAAAGTCACTCCGACCGGAATGACCGGTGTCAATATCAATCTGGCATACGGCGCCATCAAGGATCACGAAACTCGTCAATCAGACGTAGTAAAGGCCTACACCCAAGCGTACCTTGGGACAAAGGTGCCCACATGGGTGATCTTGCCTTGGGAATTGACTCCTCCTGAATACCGGCACTTCAAACAGCCGTGTGTAAGGTTAGTCAGAAGCCTGTATGGCCATCCCGAATCAGGATACCATTAGGATCAGAGGCTAAGGGAAGTAATGAAACTTTTGGAAGGTCAACATGTTGATGAATTTCCATCTTCATTTTGGTTTCCACAAAGGAAGCTTCTTGTAACTTGCTACGTCGACGACATTCTGTGCTCATCAGAACAAGACAAGTTTTGGCAGGAGATTGAAAAGCACTTGGAGATTGAACCTCCAACTCAGGTTGAACGAGTGCTGGGCAGACAGCATAAATTCGATCGAACCAACGGATCGACCAAGGTTTCGCTCGAAATGTTCGATTTCATCGAGAATGCATGTGCAGTGTACGAGGACTTGGCTCAATGTAAATTGAGCGCAGCTAAAAATCCTTTCTGCCCAGAAGGCAGCCTTACAACCACTGACTTTGAAAGTAAAGGGGTTTTGGCAACTTCTGCATGCAAATCTTGATGAAGATCCTCTGGTGCGCTAGGCTAAGCCGACCCGACCTAATGAAAGGGATAGGGGATTTGACACGTAGGATAACCACTTGGAGTCGAGCAGATGATAAACGGCTCCAGAGGCTAATGTGCTACCTGTATGGGTCAAAAGGGTACACTTTACAAGGACATATAGGCGACCCGCCAGAACTGCTCAAGCTGTGCTTGCACACAGATGCAGACCACTGCAGTGGCATCGAACATACAAAAAGCACGAGCGGCATGTTCTTGTCCATTGAGGGCCCTAACACCTTATGGCCAATCGCGTGGGGCAGCAAGCGCCAAACCGCGACTGCCAGGAGCACAACAGCAGCAGAAATGATTTCGCTAGGATCGGGCCTTTTCGGCGAAGCACTGCCAGCACAAGGCTTCCTTGAGCTGATCTTGAACCGTCAGGTTATGCTTGAGTGCTTTCAGGACAACTCAGCTGTATTCGAAATCGTGGCTGCAGGCTATAGCCCCAAATTGCGGCACCTCACGAAGACGGAGAAGATCGAACTAGGTTCAGCTTATGAGGTCTTCGAAGATCCAAGTTGCAGACTTCTGTACATAGCAACGGACAAGCAGCGAGCAGATGTGTTTACGAAACCATTGCCGGTGTGCAAGTGGGACCATGCATTAAACCTACTCAACATGGCATCCTTAAGCTCAACTTGCAAAGTGCATCCTCGTGAAGCGGAAACGCTCCGAGACCCGTAGGCAGTATAGTTAAATAACTAAACTGGAGTCTGCGTAGGACACTTTCCGAGTGTGAGAAGGGAGAAGAATGCCTCCTGCTGGAATCCACATTTTCCTGATGGTAGGTGGTGCACGCATGTCTAATTCAACCTTGCCACCGGAATTCATGTTTGCTTGAACTGCCCTTTGAATCAGGTTTCCAGGGTTGACACTGATAACAAACATTCAGTTCGCCTTGGATGACTTGAATGCTTTGGCTCAAGACAAAAAGCAGGTTGTGCGAGTGAAGCTCCCGGTGTCGCCATAGCACTTTTGGGTACACTCTTTACTTGACTTGTCTTGATTCGTATTTCGTCTAGACCCCCGAAAGTCTGCATAGGGGTCATGACCCTTGGGGAGAGTTGGTTCGCGATGTGTTCGCTCGGTATTCTGGGGAAATCCTCGTTCTGACGCGGAGGCACTGCGCAGTCAAATCTGATGGGGCAAGGCAGTCCGCGCAGGCTGTTCAGCGAAATCCTGCGTAGGCAGCTTCGCGTAGGCATGTGTTGCCTTACCCCGAGGCTCCTGACCCCTCCATTAGACACCCGGAGGTGTTTGGGGGTCTCAAAAGCTGGCTGTTGGAGGGCCCTAAATTGATTGGGAGCGTCTGATTACACAAAATTAAGAATAGCGCCCGAGAAAAGTCCGCATAGGTACTTTGCGTAGGCGCTCCGAGTTACGCGCTTGTTGTGGCGTAGGCTCGCATCGTAAACACACTTACACATAGGCATGGTGTCAGTGTATAGGGTCGATACGCCCAACAGGACTCGGGTGCCCCATTTGTTTTTGAGGGTTGTTGTTTTAGGGATATCACATTCATGCCGGGAATTGTGGGGTTCCATGTTCCATTCAGAGATCATGATGCAGCTCCGTAGTGTGCCAAAAAGCAACCGTCAGGTCTTCAGTGGAACCCTCGCAACTTGTTTGTTTCACTCCGAGCCCCCAAAAAAGTCTTATTTTGTGTCACTGGAGAAACGGGAAAAGGTCAGTAAATGAAGCTCGCGGTTGGATCCGGTCTCTGATTCCTTTTCGGCTTAAAAAGAACAGCAGGAAAGGAAAGGCCAGGCCGTAAAGCAAAGCTACAAGCTTTTGGTTCTTTCACCCCCTAAAAGGGGGGGTAACCTCGAAAGTTGCCCCATGTGCCATGGTCATTTTGACTATGTTGCGTAGGGAGAATCATGGACCCGTTGGTTTTTAGACAATCAGGTTTCATTTCTTAGCCATGACCCAGGCCCAAGCAATTCGCGGAGGTTCGACCGCGCGTCTTTGGCACGGATGTGTTGCATGCGGTTTGGGTTATATCCCCGGCAAGCCCAAGCTTTACTTGCTATTCCTTTTCGTTTGCTTCAGGGGAACCCCTGGGTTCATTCCCCACTGAGCAAAACCCCTGGGTTCATTCCCTGATTCTCCACTGAGCACCAGCAAGTTTCGCCGGCAAGCAGCCAGCGGCCAGGGACCGCCGTCGCGCTGTTTCCGATGCAAGACCTGCAAGGCTCGCGCTCAGAGTTAGAGGCCCATGGTGTGAATGATTGTAGGGTTTTTTCTTGGAGGGTGCTGGTTTCAATGGAGCACAAAAGACAAACATGCCATTGGGGGGGGGGTGATTCTCCACACATAATGACCCAACCCTGACCCGAAAACAGGTGCCAGTTTGAGCCAGCTTTCAACAGGGGTGTCCAAATGTGGTTCACCATGGTACACACACACGTTTTTGCATGGCCATGCTCTATCTCGCACTTCATGATGAATCCTTACCTTGCTTGTGGCTTCTTATTTCAAGTGAGTTCACCATAGTTCACCCAGCTAGCCTGCATCCAAGATATGTTTGCCTCTTTCTCAGCTGAGTATGATGTTGCAGCCGCAAAGTCCCTTGCAAACGCTTGGTTGACAAAGTCCGAGCGTTTCTCTCTCAGGTCATGACCTATGCTGAGGTTGAGGCGGGTGTTTCTTCTTCAGTGTCGCTTGGGAGGGCCAATATGGGTGTTTCTGTTTGAGGGTACCCCTTTTGGGTGGTTTTAACGGGCAACCAAAAAGGAGCACCACCATGGGCACTATAAAAAAGACAAAGACCTATGACACTTTGACTACTTCGCGTTTCTTTAGCGTTCAAGATGGTGTTTAAGGGTGTTTTCCACAGAGGACGGTAGCCATCTCAAAGCGGGCTGAGGAACAACAGGAAATCACAAACATTCGATAGGGTTGATTCCCCATTCTTTTGAACCATCGTTCTTTTAAAACACCGGCTGTTTCCCCTGCGTTTTTGATGGTTTTCTGAAAAGAAGGATCCCTGGAAAGAATCGGTAAGGTACACCTAGAAATATGGGATTACAGCTTGCCCCCTTGCGGCGAGAGAGCAATGGAAAGCCGAACGAACGCCTTAATCAACCCTAAGGCCGTGCTTGGCGCTTCTGAAGGGGGAGAGGAGGCGTATGATTTCATAAGGAAATTTGGCTTTAGAAAGGTCGCCCTGTTGTTTCCTTCAAGGGTTGAGCAGGATTTGCTCCAAGGGATCCCATGTGGATATCATATTTGGAAACCCCGAAACATGGCTGGTTTCCTTGTATTTCGGTTTCAAAACCATCCCAAAAGGGATAAAAGGGGCACTCGTTTGTTGAGACACACCCGTTTGAGGCTCTAGATGAACTGACGTGCCCTTGCCGGTTTGGTCAGCCATAGAAAGCCGCCTGCAAGAGTGAGCGTTGCTAGGCCATGTTGCTGGCGTGAAGATGTTGACACGGGTGGCTCGCCTTTTTTTGAGAGTACCCTTTTTGGGGGGGTTAGGGAAAGCGCAAGAAAGCCAATCAACTTCTTACCTCTTAAAAACACAACTGTTCTCAACTTTTTGGGTAACATGGGCTATACGTCTGTAAAAGATGAACACTTCCCCAGACCGTGGAGTTTTAAGGGGTAAGACTTGGAGGACCCCCCACCCATTTTGAGACCAACTCACATCCGGTCGGACGTTTCGGAACTGCCCTCTTGGCTCAAGCTGTTTCAAGATCTGGACCGCAAAAAGAAACGCGAGAGACTTGTGGCACAGCCAGAATCAACCATTTGCCAAGCTTTATGGCTACCTGCAGCTGCGAGGCGTGACGATAAGTCAGGGCTAGAGACCGCATTGGATTTGGATGTGTCTCTTGACGGTGCCCTTTTTGGGTTGGTTTGAAAAGGAATCCAAAAGGGCAGCCGCCAATTTGGATTTTCCCCTATTTTGAGACACAGCTATTTGGATGTACGGTTGATGTTTTCAGGCAATTCTGACACCTCTTTAGCCTAGTGCGAATCGGCTGCCTCAAATGGCCCAAGTTCTCAGTCAGGGTCCCTCATGTTTGTTCTTGGGCTTTCCAAAGTTGCAGCTTGAGTGGACCCCACCAACAAAAATGCGCCGCTTCAGGGAAAATCCAGTGACCCCTGCCAGAGGCGAAATATCCCCGCTTGCTCCACGTTGCCTGGAGCCATGGGTACGTGGGAGAAGCAGAAGCCGTCGGCCCCTCAGGCAGTGAAGGGGTTCCCGTTTCGAGGCGCTGGGATGCTGTGCAATCCACCAACAAATTTGCACGTGGGATGCCAAAGACGGCGCTCCTCCCTTGGCTTCCTACCTTTCCCGGGTAGCCAATTGCGAGTGTCGCTTTGCAGGTTGGCTTTCCGTGTATCGCTGTATCATCAATCAAGCAGGGCATCGACAATGTTCGAACAAAATAGGGCGCGCATGATGATTCTCTCATGGCTCAAGCGGGTATGACAACTGTCCATTTCCTGTGAGAGGCCTTTTTCAGGGGCTAGAGTTCTCTGCAGGCCACCCAGTGATTCCATTTCACTGTAGGTAACCAAGGGAACCACCCTGTAAATCGCACAAAAAAGCCTGGCTCCTGGTTGGGTGTGCGTTCTTTTTCGGAGAACCCTCTTTTGGTTTAGGGTTTGAAGGAAAACCAAAAGGAAAACCGATGCCGTTTTGGAGGGTCCTCTCAAAACAGGCGCGGCACATTTTTACGCGAACTGGGATCCGTAGCTTAGCCTCGCTGAAGCTTCATATCGGCTCCTGGGTGTCGAGTTGGTTTCTCCAAAAGGACAGGACCCCCTGGTGTTCAAGAAACCGCCCATCATGGACACCCCGTATTTTTAGGGCCCCTAATCTTGAGATCCCAAAAGTGAGAATTTTACGGGTGCTCAGAGTTAGTTTGTTGAAATGCAGCGGCCTTGAACACAGCATTTAGCTCGAGTAATGGACCCATTGCAGTGCAACACAAGCGGCAGTCTATTGTTTGTTGCGATGTGTGGTGCCAGCCAATGCCTCAAGTTGCAAAACAGCCGAACCACTGCCAAATCCCTGTGCTTGACGTTTGTTTGCATGTAACTGGTCGCTGGTTCTGCCGGAAGGTTCACAAGTGCTCCATCACAGAGTTCCACAAAGAACATCCAACGAGCTCCCTCGGGTAGAACCACTGCCACAGGAGTTTCTTTGACTAGCCATTGGTCTCCTAAAGCGGGCAGTCGGGAAGCTTCTGCTTTGCCAGCTTCCATAGCTTCACAGCAAACTCGGCCATGGGGAATCAATCGGCAGGAAACGGCGCATTTCGGATATGTTTTTTATGGTTCCCCTCTTGAGGTTAAAGGGGATCTGTCGCTGGGCAAATGTTATGCTTCCCGCTTTTTGCAAGGGGACTTAAGCAACTAGAGGCAACCTGAGTCGATGGTGATGCTTGTTGAAGTCTTGTCTTAGACTCGTTGCTTTGGGCCAGTCTTCCGTACGGCCGGAACCAAATCGTTGGTCTTGAGTCGTTCTGCCAAGAAGAGAGCGACATGTTCAATCTGCTTGGGTAGACTCAGTTCGGCATCGCCGCATTACATCCTGTTTTTGCCATGGCACGCCTCGAAAGGGGGTCAAACAAGTGCGTCCAAAAGAGTCAGCCCCTCCAACTGTGTTTGCGTTGTTGTTGCTTTTGGATTGCATCCCGAAAGCAGGCCCTTTTCGGTTTTGGATGAAGGTCAAGGGCCTTGTTTTGTTCGGATTGCTTGTTGGTTCGATAGACAGGGAATGAGAACTGGAATGACTCTATATTATAAACCATCCGTCACGGTTTCCTGTAAGGGAATCCCTAGGTGCATTCCCAAGACACGGAAGGCCATTCCACCAGCTTGACAAGGAGCATGGGTGTCAACTTGTTGGCTGTTTTGCTAAAACCAAAACGAAGAAGTTGGCGATTGCCTGGTTGAGCTGATAGGTTCATACTCTACCAACACCATCCATGGGTTCGTCCTTTTGTGAGGGCACCCCTTTGATTTTGTTTTTTGTTGCGAAAGGAAAAGCGCCATTTCGGGGAGGTGCCCTAATAAATATAACGACATAGCCATATTTGTCCAAAAGGAGACCTAGGAGGCTTCTGCCCTCGATCGATCGAGGCTTCCGGGGGATGCCTCTGTGACCGGCGATGAGTTCCTCGGCTTAGATGGTCAGAGGTCAAATGAGGCCGTGAGTTTTTTAGGGAACCACCTCAAAAGTGGCTGGTGGACATAAATCCCCACCTAAATCGTGTCCAAAGGGTCCCCCATTGAAATTCACCCCCATATGTTGGTCAAAATGGCTACTCCTTTGCCCCAAGCGAATCCACCTTTTACCTTGTAGTTTCCACTTTGGAGTCCATTTTTTGTCATGGCTCGGAAAGGTTTAACGCTTAAACTGTGGGTGCTTTGGGCAACTACTTAGCAGGGAACCACCTCACAAGTGGTAGGTGAACGGGAATTCCCACCTAAGTGATGTCTGCCCAAGGGTGCCTGACCCACTCAGATCATTTCGCAACATCCTTATGCAAAAGCGCATGTCAACTTCACATTCATCCGGAAAAAAAAAGGCCCACTAACATAGATCATGTCCCTAAAAGGCGACCACCCCTGCTTAATTCGTCGGGTTACTTTAGAGCCTCCGACATTGCCCTCTCCCT